CAAGCCCATCCAGAGACTCTGAAAGGCTGAAAGCGTTTCCGACTGTCTGTGTTGATTGTTTCCAAACTGGATAAGCTTTGTTAAATAGCACCGCTCACCAAGCAATGGTTGCTTACGTCCAACCTCCTGCGTCCCTGGATGTCCTTGCACTATCTCCTCACTAGTCGAGATGAACGTTGAGCGAGCTTAGATCTGTCGTGTACCTGAACTAAGTAGCTGAAGTGAACTAAGTAGCCTCGTCAAATGTCTGATGCGTTCTTCGTCGACAGTTCCACATATGCGAAAACTGACTGGGTAATTACATACTTGCCTCATGCGAGGAAGACGCATACAAATGTATGTACAATTTTGTTTTGTGCTAGTTTAACCAGTGACCGCTAAGGAGAATGTGTTTTAAAAAATACCAACATGAGAGCATTGCTCTGGCTACTTATTCAATGTGTCGGGCCGCTGTTATATAATTGCTTAGTGCGTTCAACAATTCTCAGCCATGGTTGTTATTGATGTTTTTTGACACTGGTTGTGCTCGCACGCTTTGAATCTAGTCAAGAAGAACGTTGATGATTGTGCGTAGTGGTGGGTTTCCATGCATCTCAGCACTCAGGGTGTGCCTTTGTTAGTGTACGGGATTTGTTGGCATGTGAGAAAGTTTTCCTGACAACGCGGCATGTCTGGCCGCTCCAATGCGGTAAAATACCTGCGCTGTTGTGACATGGTTGCTACTTCTCATTGCATGCATCTGTGATAAGCTCGTACGGCTGCGTGCCCAGAACTGCATTTCGCGTACCTTCCAAGGCTGTGGTTATCCCAGAGAGGTCATTGACCTCAATACTTTAATGCATTTAAAGCTGACCAACTCTGCTGAAGTGATTATAGCGCGTTGTGAAAATGTCACGTATCCACAAATACGCCTGAGGAAATCCATCAAATGTCTTGTGAGTTTCTTCCGTATGCGCAAGACCACTGGCAGCTCTAATGACACCTCTCATTGCGAATGCGTGGCTGGGTCATGTTCACGCTCATTTCAATCACAAATTATTCAGACGGCTGGGTTGTTTGACTCGGTACGATTGCAACAGTAGTATCGGTGCAATATTAAAAAAAAAAAACGGCGCGACCAGATTCGCACGATATCAATCGTCCCTTCGTTCTAACAACTTGGCCAACAGTAAATTATGTATCAAAATTTAAGCCGTCAGAATATATCGCGAAGCGGTAAACAAGCAATGATTACACAACAGGGCGGTCTACATCGCTCAGACTGACGCAAAACACATTGTAGGTGTAAGAGATGGTGGTGGTCGGCGACAGCGGGATGAGGCCGCGTAAATACGAAAAGACCTGCGTGCTGTCGATAGGTGAGGGCTGGCAGACCCAGGGCGCCCATCGCTGCCGCACGGGTGACACGCTGGCGTAAAGCTGTGCGTGTGGTGAACAGGGACCGAATCTCCAAAGGAGCCCACGAGTCATTAAGGGCCCTGAACACAGCGATGCTGCCACGGGGAATGACTAGGTCACCGCGCCAGCCAAGCGCCTGAACGGTCGCCGCCATTGGATCTTGCTGAGGAGCATCGGTGACGATCCTGGCCCCACGGTTAATCACCCCTTGCACTCTATTTAGGTGATGCGCTGCAGCCACACCCCAGACCGAGAGGCAGTACAGAAGATGAGAACATGGGACTGGATGATGGATTTACGAACCTCGGGTGACGAATCTGTTGATTGTGGTTTGTGGTGGAATTTGTTCATTGTGATTCGTCACAAACAGCCAATATGGTTGGTTGTGGCGGATTTTATGCAAGCGGAAAAGGATGGGGCTGCGCATTTTAACGTAGGATGTGAGCATCTCCCAAGAAAAGGTACTTGCAATAGGACCCCCAGCACCTTCATGGGCGACGAAGGGCTCAATTGGTGTCACGCACTGCCCAGGTGAAAATATAAGGTTTCCTTTCAGGATTGTGGAGTGCCGGGAAGAATAGCTCTTTTGGTCGGCTTCATTTTAAGAGAGTTAGATGTGAAGAAGGAATTAACTACTTGAATGGTTTTCTCCTGTCGTGATTTCAAAACGAATGGTTGGTCTGGATGTGTAGAGTCCAGCAGTCGGGTGTGGTCGGCACAGGATACTAGATATTCGTGAAGGAGGTAAGATGGAGATTCATTCGTAAAAATACTGAAGAGGATAGGGTCAACCAAGGATCGCTGAGGGAAACCGTAAATCGACAGAAGAGAAAGATTCCGCTTCTCACCATCCACCTTCGACCAGCAAGGTAACTCCCAAACCAATTCGGATCAATACAATATCACTGCAGCTTTGTCGAATCTACGCCATGGTTAATACATTAAAGCACGGCTGAAGTTTACGAAGGTGACGGCCACGACGTGCTTAACCCCAATCCGAGTACAGCTCACTCAGCGGCATCGTCCAGGGCGTTTTCGGTTGAGTGACCGGGGATCATGGGTACCGAGGTTGGACGACAGCTGCATGCACACAACTTTATCGTGTGTCTTTTACAAGGCAGGCAAAGCTGATGTGCCAACGAAAATGCTAGCGATTTCACGGAAGACATATTTGTGAAGAGCCGAAGGTAGAAGATAGAAGAGCGAAGAGAATATTTATCGCATTTTATTATTGGCGGTACCCTCATTAGGTACCGCCAATGACTGTCTTTAACAGTGAGGTTCTTTCGGCACAGACGTCTGCAAGTGACCTAAACCTAAAAAGCGTTTCCCATAACGTTACGCAGAAGTGAAGTTCTTGGTTTTAAGTTAGCACCAAGTTGAACGACTTCGAATTTACAGACGAAAGACTCATCTGGATGTCAAACAGCACCCATATTGGTACCGCGTGTGAATCAGTTGAGTAGCTTCAGTTGGGTTACTTCACAGTACTAGGTTCAGTTAAGGTACCGAATTGCATTCAGAATGTAGGTTGCATAGGCATGAACGTACGTACGGCCCAAGTTTGGATTTGCCGATTTCGGCTCCAATTTGTTTTTGTTTTTTGAGTGAGGGCTTAACGAAGTCTTCCATACATTTCTCCAGTTTACCTACCGCGCTATTCAACGTTCCATCATTGCGATTTTCCCGCCCAGGGGAGCGCTACTTAAATTAAGTCTGTTTTTCCAAAGATGACTTCAAGTAGTCCCATTCGAAAATATAATGGCTAGGGTCGGGCATTTCTTGCCATTGCCCCTTGAATGCTCGGTACTATTACAGATGTTAATTACAAGACCCTAGGTTCACCGGAAGTGACCTAACTAGACCTCTGAAATCGAGGATACACTTGCCACATAGAAACTCTGGGCGAAGATGCATTACTGCATGAGGAGATGTAATCACATCATTGGATTAGGCTTCTAAGACTTGAAGTGCGTATCCTAAACACTGTTGCATAGGTTGCATCACTAATAAATTCTGACAGAACGTTTAACATCCCTAGGCGAACATGGGTCAGCCAAGGTGAAAACATTGCTGACCCCATTTCCATCTACACTCAACGTGCACGGGGTCATGAATATCTCTGCAGAGCTCAGAACAAAAGCTTGGCAAAGCTCTAAGGTCTATCCCTTTGGATAGAACCAGCTTAACAATTTAAAAGGAATAACACCGATGCGTTATTTTGTATGTCATCTAACATCACCTCCCTTCTGTTAATTATTGCCTGCAACAAAATACAGACAGCAAATTGCTTTCCAGTACCTTTCATGGCTTCTTGCCCCAGTGCAGAAAGTTAGAAATGCATAAAACACGCACGAAATCATGCCGGTGGAAATGCATCGGCCAAAGCTGACGAATTTGTGTGTATGAGAGGGGGGGGGGCGTTTCACCATCAAGGAGCCCCTTTAGGAGCCCTCCGCACCCCTCACTCGTTACCAAGACTGGATACAAGCCGCACACTGCAAAGCACCGTGTGGCAAGCATGCGATGCTGCATGGCGTGCCTTGTAAGCAATATGACAAGTTCAGCATCTACTTTTCCTGGTACATACACATGTACACGCGCAAACGCACGCATACTATATTGTATATGTACATATATATATATATATATATATATATATATATATATATATATATATATATATATTCGCTTCTCTGGACGGTATGTTCTCAATAAAGTACGCCGATGTGTAGCTTCAGTGATGAAAAAATAAGCTATGCATGGGCAAATGCATATTTTCAGCTTTTGTACGCGTGTTTGATTGCTGAAATCACACCTTTCCCTTATTCGGTAAGTCATAGATCAGTTCGCCAGTTCGCTGCGTTGAATACGCTCTGTCGCCTGCGCAGATCACATCGCGATGTAATTCACAGGTGTGTGTGTCCATCATGAGTGCATCTACACAGAACACCTCTGCTTAAATCCACTCGCGAGTGGAGTTACGCAGAATGGTGCTTCTGCGTATATCACGCCATGAGTGAATCTACACAGAACACCTTCTCTGCTTAAATCCACTCGCGAGTGGAATTACACAGAATGGCGCTTCTGTGTATATCACGTCATGAGTGGATCTACACAGAACACCTTCTCTGCTTAAATCCACTCGCGAGTGGAATTACACAGAATGGCGCTTCTGTGTATATCACGTCATGAGTGCATCTACACAGAACACCTTCTCTGCTTAAATCCACTCCGGAGTGTATATACACAGAACGGCGCTCCTGTGTAAATTCACTCAGATCTGAGTCGATTTACTCCTGAAGCCACACTTGTGTAAATCTACTCACAAGTGGATTTACACAACAGTGCGTTTATGTGTAGATCAACTCAGATCTGAGTCGATTTACACAGGGGTGGCATCCTGTGTAAATCCACTTCGTAGTGGATTTAAGCAGAGGAGCTGTTCTGTGTAGATGCACTCCTGAGTCGATTTACACGCGTCCAGAGAAAAATGCTTCTAGAATTTCATTGTTTCTAGAGGTTTCTTCAGCAAGAACTTGAGAGTTTTTCGGATATTTCTGGCAACTCTGAGGTCGCTGGCCACGCAGCCGCCATTTTGCGGTCTTTGTACACGGGCGACGCGTATTGCGGGCGGCGGTTCTGTCATCCGCGAAAGGGTTGCATTTATTCTCGTATTTTGGTATATTTTCCGTGTGCAATGGCTGACACAGTTGTTGATAACAGTAATGGGGGTGGCTATTTCATGCGAGGAGGATTCCGCGGTCGCGGAGGTAGAGGACGTGGGGCTGTTCGCGGCGGCGAGTTCCGGGGAGGTCGTGGAGGCGGCGGAGACCATAGAGGCGGCCGTGGAGGTGGTGGAGATTTCCGTGGCGGCCGAGGAGGCGGCGAATACAGAGGCCGTGGCGGATTCCGTGGAGGAAGGGGAGGAATGGGCATGCGGAATCCAGAGGTGAGGAACTGCTGTTTCATTACCACTCAGCTTGACCATAAACTACCTTGCCCATTTGTGGCCATTTTTCAACCTTTTTCCCTTGGTTGTGCACTGATGATGTCCTGTGTGATGCCACCTGTCTCATGGCAAGATTATTTATGATTACATGTAGCATATATTTAATCTGATCCATTTCATGTGTCTGTGAACAGAACTGACACTGAGGAGCGCTTGTGCGAGTCCTGACCTGTTCTGTTGAATCATGTGATGATTCAACAGCAGGACCTGATGGTAAAATTTTATAATGGTGCAATGCTGTGCACAAGCACTGCAGGCCTGGATAAAATGCGGAGGGAAATCACCTTTACCCTGAAGGAGACTTAAAACGTAGGAGGTATCCTAAGACCATGTAGAGTGATTACCCCTGAGCCTGGGTAAACCCATTGTCTAAAACTTACACCTTGAGACTCCAAGCCTGAGTAGACATCTTCAACTCCAAGCTATAGGCAAAGAGAAGTGTCCATAACTAAGTACAGGAGCACCCCAATGGTTTGAGTGGTTGGGTGCCCCAAGCTGAATTGAAGGAGCATATGCAGCCAAAAAATGTAGTGTCCTAAGGGCAAGGTGACAAGTATGTCTAAAAACCAGAGATTAATGTGGACAAAAACAAACAAGATAGAAACCAATAACTAAAAAAATGTATGTTGTTTATATCTACTAACATATAAGGGTAGGTTGCTCTCAGGACTAAGCAAAGTGTGTATTGCATTAGCAACAAACCAAAAATATCAGCTGAACAGTAAACAGTAAAGACATGGCATTTCTCCTTAAAAAAGCTGGGTGCCAACAGGCACCACTCCGTACTAAAAGTTCCAGCACAAGTGCAGAAATTTCTGTGCCAAAACCCATGTCACATATTCCTGGGCAAAGAAATTAATTAATATTACCTTGTCTTAACTGGGGGTGTGAGACTTTCAGATCCAGTGCCAGATCTGAGCCTTCCTAAACATATAGTAGCAGTTTGTGGTGGTAAAATTGCAGGCAATAACATAGCAATGTAGAAAGGCACTTTCCAAAGAAGGAGGTAGTTTCTATAAAGTGTCCAACTGGCCATCAATCAGTGTTTACAGCCCATCCAGTGCACAACTTCCTTAGTATCAGGGGTTAAGCACTTATATGCTGTATGGGGGTTATGAAAGTTGTGAAAGCTCTAAGTTAACTGAAATGAGCAAGAGTGCAGTATTGTTAAAGGTTGAAATGGCAAACTTGGAGTGTTTTTTTCTTATAAATTTGATCTGAACCCTTTTGAATGGATGGATTTCTGGGATCAGTGCTCACGCTAAGCAGTGCTTGTTGTGTGAGCTCTGATCCCCACCACCCGATCACGCAATCCCAGGCAATGGCAGAATTAAGTGGCGAAAGCTTAACGTGCCGCAATGCTCGGCACGGTCCGTCCTGCCCCCTGACGTCAACTGACCTTTAGGGCGACCGCTGCCACCGGCCATGGGCCATACCTGTTAAGGGCAAATAGCGAGCGCCCTAAAGCGACTCGAACCCACCCAGCCACGGGTGGGTGGATCGGAAGGCAGGCGCTCTAACCAACTGAGCCACCGGGACGGACAAAACCGTGGTAAAAGTGGACTTACCAAAATGAGATGCTGAAGGCTTTCAAACACTTTCTCATTGAGGTGATTGGTCACCAAGCCCAGCAACAAATGCACTGGCTTATTGTACACAAAGCAGGGGTAGCTTTGCAGGTGGGAAGTGTTCAGCAAAAAGAAGTTGACGGGAACAGTCTTATCTCAAGCCTTTACTAGGATACCTTGTAGAAACCCTGGGTTAATCTCTCTTTCAGCCCCATTCATGGAAGTTGGGTAAATGATGCTGGTTGTGACTAGGCTGATCATGTACATTTTCTTTGTTTAGATAATTATTTTCTTTCCAGGAACGCCTCATGGAGAAACTTCAGGCAGTTGCTGGGCCTACATATGATCTGCCAGTAGCTGATCAAAAGGAGAAAAAGAAGTTTACAAACAAGTGCCGTTTGTTTGTGGGGAACCTGACTGATGAAACAACCATGGAGGAATTCCAAGAGATGTTCAAAGTGTTTGGTGAAATCGCCGAACCGTACCTGAATCTGGAGAAGGCATTTGGCTTTATAAAACTGGTGAGTATTGGATGATCTTTATGTGTATGCAGCTCTAAAACAGTGTGCCTTCATAGCGTAGAACCAGCTGGGCCGCTGATTGCGGATTACGAACGACGACTTTTTTCACGCCAAACGGACTGGTTGTTTGCTTTTCCGAGGGCTACAGGTTTTTCAACCACATGCGGGCCCGATTATATATTTAGCACTTCTTTATCAGCTCCAAGTGGCCGCGGATGTCAGTGCGCCCCAAATCCTCAATGTAAAATGAAAAACAGTTTAGCTGCAAGCGAGGACCCATGCAATGCATGGCTTGCCCAGAGCAGGAAAGCAAGCGGGTGGAATGAGCGACCGATGTAGTGTCGATGTCAGCGTCAGTCGGTTCGTCATACAACCCAGGCTTAGACCAGGCGCTGTATACCAGCACCTGCAGCCAGCTTAAGTATGCGTCCTGAACGCCGACCCGCGGACCCCTCCGGCGGAGTGCATGAGTGGTGAAGCCTCGCCCCAGCGAGCCGTGCTGAGCGGGCCACTGCCTCCACCGCAGGACTACAGGGAGAACGCCGAGAAGGCGCGCCAGGCGCTGAACGGCACGATGCGTAATGGCCGCCTGCTGAAGGTGCGCTTCTCCTCGATGGGCTCCAGTCTCAAGGTGAAGCGGCTCTCGCCTTGGGTCAGCAACGAGCTGCTCGAGCTGGCCTTCTCCGTCTTCGGTGAGGTAAGTCCTCGTGAAAATGGCCATTCCCCTCGGCGGGTGATGACACAACTGCATAGCTTGTGCTGAGGCGTGTGTTGCCCAGTGATGCATGTTTTGGAGCATTCCTGTATTCCTGTGACATATCCACGGAGATGTTTATGCTGCTTTTGAGGACGGGACGAATCTTCAGGGGTTATGAGTTATTTTCGTCGGTGTTCATCCATGGGGCCCTGTTCAATGAGCTGGAGCATCCATTCCTCGCTGCTATTCCATCACCAGCACTTCTGGTGCCAGAGTTGGGCCCGCTGACTCTGACATGTGATTGTTGACCTGTCTTCAGCTGGAGCGTGCCGTCGTTATCGTGGATGAGCGCGGAAAGTCGACTGGCGAGGGCATTGTAGAGTTCGCCAAGAAGCCCTGTGCGCTGGCTTGTCTGAAGAAGTGCACAGAAAGCAGCTTCTTCATCACTGAGTAAGTACCTAACAGATTTGACTATAAGGTTGGGATGTAGTGCCAGTCTGCAGCACAAACTGCTTTGCCTCTTTGGCCTACTCTTTCCTCTACTCCTACTCTCCACGAATCACGCTATTTTGGGTTGTAACATGGGTCTTTGCCAGTGTCCGTTTAACCCACTTCTTTTACTCCACGAGCAATTCTTCCATAACTTCGACACATTCACACACTTCCACACATTTCATAACTTCCAAGCATGGGGAACTAACAAACAAGCAAGCGCTGATGTGTGAACTTACACAAGTTTCAATACCGCCGCACACAACCCGCCAACGGGCGAGAAATTCCACCGGGCTCCATAATGGCGGAACTGTCCGGGGCGACCGGGTCCCCGGGTGGCTGCCATATTTCAACCTGGGGAAATTGGCGCGGAGACCTCGAAATCTAGAGTTTTTTTGTGTTGGTAGCTGTCGCCGTGCTTTAGTCGGTGAATTGAAAGCGAAAATTGCAAAGCTGTAACATGTTCTTGTATTGCTTCTGCACTGTTGTTAATGAGGGGTCGAGTGGTGGACTCACTTTGGTCCCCTCAAGGTTTTTTTCAAAACACCTGAACGATGCGGCATAGCAACGCCATGCTTGTAAAGTTGTAGAAAATGGAATGGCCAATAAGCGGGTGTACGAATTCAAAGATACCTATTCAGGTCGTTGACCAGCGCCGGGTCAGAGCCAAGCCACGAGAGTCAGCGGAGTCAATTCCCAGGGAATCTGTCAAGCTGATGCGATAGTTGAGCGTTGGCCAAGTCGTATCGTTTGTATGGTTTCTTACACAAGAAGACAATTTAAGTAAGGAGCATGACTAATTTCTTAGCCGATGGATCAAGGGTGAAGGTCAGATCAACATTATAAGTTCTTTTTTATGGAAAACTTGCCTTATGTTATAGCTTGTGATGCTCATTTGGTATTTTGGGTATCAGGGCTTCCGGAGGCTTCTTATGGTGTCTTATTCCTAGTCAGCGGAAGAGACGGTCCAAAGATGGCCTCGCTAAACCTTTGCCCTTAGGAACACTCCGCCCAGGGTAGTTTTGAACCTGATGTTAAAATTGAAAATGAACAGAGGTTTTTAGCAGTCTTGACCCTCTTAAGTTTAGATAAGGTCACTGACCTAGTCTTGCCCTGGGTGACTGCTTAGACAATGTCACTAACGTGGCAACGTATTCAGTTCAGAGCCGGTTGCGTGAGGAGATCTGGGATACTTCGGACGCGATCTCAACTTTTACCTTATTGACCCGAACGTGACGGCCTAGAGACCCACGAATTGGGCACAAGTTTGTTCAGATAGGCTAAAATAGAGCCTTACGTGCTATGCAAATTTAGTGTCCCGAGCTCTTTTGGTTATTACATATCAATGTGGTCAAACCCCCACCCTCACCCGAGCGCGTCGCAGTCCCGTGGCCACACGGCTGCGTGTTTAATGTACTGCTTTAAGGGTCATGATGTAATTTATATATAACACCCTAAAGTGTCAGATATATCAGCGAATTGTCTGATCACATTTTAGTAACACCTCGCCTTTTTAATATGTTGTATGCGTAGTGTGAGTCGTATGCGAAATATAGCGCGAATGTCAAGAGGGTGAAAGGACATTTCTTAAAGGGGATGTTTCGCATTTGAACAAGCTGAAGCAAGCATCAGTTAGGATGAAACAAGCTCACTAAAAGGTATACTTGTTAGGTGGGAAAGACTTCTCAAGGCATCCAAATTATCTGTTTAGCAAATATGCTCCCCAGTGCCTCATGGTTTGATTACGTTATCGTGCCTGCACAACATTGAGAACCAATTGGCGGTCGTTATATCTGAAAATCGCTCTCACGAACGCCAGGTGTGAACGCCTCGACAGCGATGTTTTTCTTGGCATTGATCGTCGCATGACTAATGGAATGACAGGATTTGAATGACGTTATTATGGTATCGTCAGTGCGGGGATGACTTTGAAATACTCTCCCCGATATACCTCGCCTCATTTTCTGGGCAGGTGAAACCCAGAAATTAGAGCGGCTTAGGTCATAAGAAGTAGAAGGGTTGTGAACAGCACCGAAAAGTCTTCAAGGCAGCTATTTCAGTTCAAATTCCCATATAAATGTGGGGCACTCCAATGAATGTGAGCTTTTATGTGAGCTTTTTGGTGATGTGGAACTTGAGACTTGTGAAGTTTTAGTGAAGAACTGGAAATAGAGCAACCTTGATGCATGCTCTTCCACATGGTTCTAACTTCTTCTTTTTGTTCACTTTAAGGGGCCTATGTCCGGTTGAAGTTGAAACCCTGCAAGAAGATGACGAGGAGGAGGGACTGTGCGAGAAAGTCCTACCAAAGAAACACCAGGAGTACAGACGTGAACGCTCGGTGAGTGGCTACGCTGGAGCGGGAGTCGTATGCTGGCAGGCGTATGTTGGCTCGTACCTTTGACTAGGGGGATGGCAATCATGATGCCTGTGCCGGTAAGCGGGTCTGTGCCGTGTCGCGATCTGAAGCGTGTCTGCTCGGTCCGCAGACGGGACCGCGCTTCTCCGTGCCGGGCAGCTTCGAGAGTGAGTACGGAAGCCGTTGGAAGCAGCTCTACGACATGGAGAAGCAGCGGCGCTCCCAGCTGGAGAAGGAGATCAAGATGGAGATGGACAAGCTGCGCGACCAGATGGAGTTCGCGCGCCGTGAGCACGAGACGGAGATGTTGCGCGAGCAGCTGCGTCGCCGCGAGATGGAGCAGGAGCGCTCCAAGGGTGACTGGGACGTGCGTCAGCAGCAGCGCGAGGAGGAGCGCCGCCGTCTGGAGGAGGACATGCAGCGCCGCCAGGATGCCATGCAGACGCGCATGCGCCAGTCGGAGGACGATATGAAGCGACGCCAGCAGGAGAACCAGCTGTTCATGCAGGTGAGAGCTGCACTGGTCACGCGACGCCGGCTACTGGGCCCTGTGCAGCGTGGCAAAATGTCCAGTTGAGTGTCAACGAGGTCAGTATGGATTCATACTGACCACTGTCCCCTGCGCCGCCTCCGCCTCGTCCATGCCTCCGTTGCTGCTAGCGTGTTAGCCCTTTGAGCCCGGAGCTCAGGTCGGAGCCTGGCACCTGGACCTACTCCTCCGAGTTGCCATGCCCAGGACACATAGGCGCTGGTTGGACTGCCACCTGGCGTGATGCTGATTGCTTAATCCTGAGCGAGTGGGCTTCGAGGCACGTGTGCGGTAGTAGGAAAAATATCAAGTCTCCTTGGCGCCCAAATGTCTGAACTTCGTTACACTGGGGCTGGGACTGCAGCACACTAGGTCTGAAGAGATCCTAGCGCAGTTAGGTCAAGTAGTGTGGAAGTAAACGCTGGAGTCTTGCGTAGTTCGCAAAGGGCGTGGGATGCTTTTCCGTCGTGCTGCGTGACATGCATGCATGTATGCGTCACGATTTAGGGGACGCAGACACTTGCTGACTGCGGCGGAGCTGGATCCTGCAAATTGTGTATTGCTGGCGCTTTCCGCTTACTCCTTGTCTAATCGTCGGGTGTGGTATTTGTGTCATGTGCTGGGGCACCATGCAGGTTTTCCGAGAAGGGCCGTCCCTCTCCGCCGTGTGTGGTTATGCCTGGGAGCGACGACTGCGTGCGGCAGGCTGCGCCTGCCAGCCTCGCCGCCCGCCTGTGTGACGCCCAGCCCTCCACCGGCAGGCGAGCGAGCTGAGCAGCCTGCTCGACCAGCAGGAGCAGGTCATGTGGGGCGACCAGGCGGTGGGCGCCGGGCCGCCGGGCGAGCAGGACGCCGGCTTTGGCGGCCGGCCCGGCTGGGGCGTGCCTCCGCCCGGCAGCTTCGACGGACACGGTACGTGGCATACCGGGGTAGCGACGGCCACACGCCGCGGGGTTCGCCGTCACCGGGCGCCACCGGTGTGGTGTCACCGGTGACGGGCATGTTGTCGTCGTCGTGGTAGGTGATTTATTGGTTTTTGGTGGATCGTGTTGCTCACGGGGCCTACCGTCCAGTTACGGGAGTCATAGGCGATAATAATTTTCTTGCATCGCGGAGAGACTATCGATTCAGGCTGATGGCAAGAGCACAGGTGCACTGGCACGAGCGCGCCATCTTCCGGCCTAAGTCCGTTCGTGTCGAAGTCGCTGTTTCTCACCGGGCGGAGAGTGGCCGGCGCCCTGTGCGCTTGTGTTCGGCGGTGTGTTCGGTGTGTTCGGCGGTGACGGCACTGACTGGGTGCCGTTGCAGGTGGCGGCATGGGACGCGGCGGTCGGGGCGGCGCCCAGGTAGGTCACGCCTTCCACTGCCGGCACCGGCCGCCGCCCTGCCGCCGGCGGGCGGCGGCCGGCGCGCGGCCTGGCCACGCCTCATCACCTGAACCGTGATGCCACGCTGACGAAGCACCTCAAATTGTAGCGTTGGGGAGATGTAATGTATGGAACTAGGGATTTCTAGGACAAAAGCCAACTTGTGCTCACCTTAGCATGGGTTTTACGTATCTGCGCAATAAGGCCGGTGGGCTGAGGATGGATTGGTATAAAGCGCCACATATCGTACCATCTCGGCGATTGCTGACATGCTATACCAGTCTGGGGCCGGCCAGACCGGCGGACACCGGGAATGCCACGGCGTCAGTGGTCGGCTGTGGCGCATGCCGACTGCTGATGCGTCGCAGAACTTGCACTGGACGTGCTGGACTTCGGGGCCAGTGCAGGCCGATATGTTGTTGAGTCGAACACGTGCATTATCAGCGAGAAAGGTAGTTTCCATGGACAGAAAGAAAACACTATTCCGTGATGATATTGGGGGTAAATTAAATTCGCGCTGTTTATGGAGGAAGGTGGCGTACAGATACATAGGCAGACGTAAGATACACGTTTTATGCAAGCGATCAGTTCCACTGACACCGGAACTTAAATAATACACGAGAACAGGAGCGGGTCATCTCGCATTCGCAAATGGATACCGCTGCCGCTGACCAGTGAACATATGACGGGCGACACGCTCACCCAGCGCTCACGGACAAAAGCACTGCCGAAAAGTCTGCTGATGTCTGCTCATGAGCTCTGAAAAAAGCACTGTAACTAGGCGTCCTGCTGTTTGTTCGTGGTACTGGTTGGTGCGCCAGTTGAGGTGGCAGAGTGCGTACCGTGCAGCGCCGGGTGAATGCTAGAGACTGGTGCAACCAAGTCCGGTTTTTTATTCTAACAGCCAGTGAAGCAGAGCGTTGTCTGGCCCCAGAACCAGTTGCAGACAGGCTTATTGATTGATATTTTAACAGCGGCGATCGCCACTGAGCAAAGTTCCTAGTTGTGCTGTCTGTGTAACTGACCGTGCCTCTGCCGGTGCTTGCGTGGGGCAGCGCTGGCTGTGAGCCCTGTGTTGATCGTTATGAAATCGTACTCTCAGACCGAAGTATTACGATGCTGTAGTGAGTGACGTGTCTTGACTCGGGACGGTCACGGGCTGGAGGGAGGCGAGGCAGTGCGGAGCGACTGAAGATGACAGTCGGCACACGCGAAGACCACCCATAAGTTTCTGTGTTACGATGATACGCCTAAACTGGTGTGATTTATAAGTTGCTGTATCGCTATGATAAACTCGAGCTGGTGTGCTTTGCTCAGGTCGTGAAAGCGCATCATCCGTGCCTTTATTAGCAGAAGGCGCGCGACGAAAAGCTTGCGCCTCGGAAACAACACGACCAATTGCTGAGACTCATGTTTTGGTGCCGTTGAGGCTTCTGTGATTAACAGGACATGTCTGGCGGTTGTAATTGGGCTGCTTTCGCGGTTTTGGGCGAAATAATTATTCATAATTTTGTCTGGAATGAGGTTCCGCCGGTTCCCTGTGAGGAAGGGGCGCTAATTAAATTGGTACCATAGCTGTTAGTGCTGCACAAATAGCTTGCGACGACATGCGCCGCATTTCTATGGATATTATGAAACGGACTGGCCTACGGAGGGGTTGCATATGCATTTAATGATACGCGATAACACAGAAATACAGAGGTCATGGGGTCATGTCACAGTCGTCGCGCCGAGCTGCATAACACTAGGCCGGACTTACGTGCATAGCGCTGTGCATTGAGCTGATTTGGACTCGTTCTTGATCCATGGAACTATCTTTCTCGCTGTGTGACGTCCAGTGCAAGCTGCAACATATGTTATTGTACTTGTATTAGTTATTACCTTGCACGTATTTTGAGACCCGTTGGTCATGAGTGTGTCGGGGGACAATAATATTTCGATTGGTATTATTGCGGGAATAAGTATTTGTTTCACTTGACCTGAACTACTTGTGTTGCAGACATCTGCGAGATACGCCAATGTTTTACGGAACTCCGGAAACAGAACAGATACTTTTTCAGTAATTTCTGCGCATTTTGTTGCGTAAGCTCTCATGACAGTCCGCTAGTGCCGCCATTCCGCTTCTTGGAGGTGTTGAAAGTTTCCTCTCTAGGTGTGACGAAACCTGGTGGTTCTCCAGATGCCATGCTCGTCAACAATGCTTTTATATTCCTAAGAACATTAGTCACAGCGTTTGAACATTTATGGACACGCTGCTTCACCACACCTTGGCAGACATACGAATGGAATATCGATGAAGAGTGAAATGCTTTTCATATTTTCTCGCAGGTTTTTGCGGCCAAGCTGTTACAAAACTGGTATGAGGGGTAAAATCGTGGGCCTTGTGTATCACATTTCCTCCCAGCGCATTTCACAGCAAAGTAATATCGATGTTTTCCAGAGCGGCAGCAAAACAACAGATGTGTCCGAAATTGCTTGCGGGGGGGCTGTCTCGGGCATTATTGACATCCCCGTGATCCGATGATCTCGCACTACGCCTTTTGAAGTATGCGCGCTCCGCGACCCAGTGGCCTTGCTAATGCTGGGTAGTGGTAAGCACGGACGTTGCCGTGGGAGTGGTATAGGGAAGTTGGGAGCACGCTCGCATGGCGAGCGTCCTCCATGGGCTGAGCCACACACGGTGTTCGAATCCGGCCCCTAACGAGGAACTGCACTGCTCTCCACGGCGATATACGTGACATATGGCGACGCTCTGTGGCCGAGATGCTGACTGCGTCGTTAAACCCCGTAAATTACTAAATTATGACGTTACGTTATGTTACTTAATTATAATGTTACATCCAATAAAATTTTCGTTTATCCTAAAGTTAACTACAAGCCTGCCATTCTTACTCTATGTATTACCACAAACGCTACATAACCGTCGGGATGTGTGCATAGCGCGCCAGCGGTTTTTACGGTGCGGCACGGTACTCCGTGCATCAGTTGAACGCAAGATTTAATGTCTAGTTGAACATTGGAACGAAAGTGTGTTCGCGTTGAAAACAAACCTTATGTAGTGCATCTTATTCTTTTTGTAATGCATAAGTATATCATATTATCCTTTGCCTGATCCAGTGTTCTTATCAATATGGCTCAGAAGGTGTGCATCTGTCTGCAGATGGACGACGTGGTGATATGGAGGCCCCCGGGCAGTTTTGTCTCTGGTAACGGTGACTCCTGTGTCGAATTGAACGTGCGAAGTCCACAGTGTCTGGGAGAATGAACGGCCCTTTGCCTGTCGGCAGCTCCCAGTTGCGCCCTTGTTAAGCCAGTTTTGTGCAAAGCCAGCACTGGTGTAGACGTGTAGGACTAATGCCAGATATATTTATTCGCCACTGAACCCCTTTTGCGTAGCGATCGCGGGTTAAAGCGTATTCGCACATGATACGGAGGATGCCAGGGTCGTGATCGGCTCATAAAAAACTGTCTCCTGACTGCCGCAATCTTCTCGGCCAAGCCGGAGTTCCGGCCGGCGGAGGTGCCACTTACTAACCACCTTGAGGCGGAATGGCGGCCGTGTCTGTTCGGTTTCCGGAGGGGGAGTTCCGATGTTTGTGCCCAGGTCGGGCCGAGGCCGGTGGCCGCACTACGTTCTGCCGTTAACGGTCGGTGTGTTGTTCTCTTTCTCTCCCCCCGTGCCGCGCCCACCGCTCTGGTAGGGCGCCGGTATGGAGCAGGGCTATGGCCGCGGTCGCGGGGGCGCCCCGGGCGGCTTCCGCGGCGGCCGAGGCGGCGTCCGCGGCGGCTTCCGGGGCGTCCCGCGCGGGGGCCACGGAAGGGATGCCGAAGGCGACGACTTTCCCAACAAGCGCCCGCGAATGTTCTGAGCGGCGGCCACCGGAGAGCCGTCGGCGGCGCGGGCTGGGCTAGCGGCACTGAGCACGCCCCAGCCCCCAGCCACAGCCGGCCAAATAGACTCGGCGGCGCACGCCGCGCCACGCGCCCATCTGAAGAAAGCCGATGAACTCCGTGTGATTTAGTGTTCTGTTCAGTGTCGTTCCAGTAGACCCGGACTCGGACACAGTTTTACATGTTCTCCGTGACAGTGTGAAGTTAGTTCATAATGGTCGGAGGCTAGGAAGTAACCTTGCGCCTCTTGTGTACGGCATGTATCTGCATTAAGTCACGATGAACCGCATCCATTGCAAGTGGTTCTCCATCATCACTAAGGAAAAGAGAACACCACGGGCATGGTAGGCGAGATGCGCTTCACCTAAACATGATGTCCTACTCTGGGCATGTAGTACCTCAAGTTGAAGGCATTGATCAAACTTCATTGGTTTTTCTAGACCTTTACTAGTACCTTCGGTGTCGATAACGTGTTTGGAGCGTCACGCTGAATAAACCGAGCCATCCCGATATCGGCTGATGCCAGTCCGTCGTTGATGGTGAGAAGTGGCTTCATCTAGAGTTTGAGCTGGAAAGCGCTGTTGGCCGCCAATTGGGGGAATCGGCCAAATCTAGGGCTCGAAGCGCTGGCGTCAGTGAGGTAGCCGTAACGAGTGCAGCGTTCCTGCTAGTTATCGACCTTCCATTTAGCGGGAGGCACTGGTTTAACGACGTTAGCAGGCGAACATTGGTTATGTTCTCAGCACTCGGGATTCCGAGTTGTACTCGTGATTAACAAATGTTGGCTTGGTGATGTCATCTACCAGTAACGCCTGGTATTTGGAACGTCAACAAGTGCAGGACAAGAAATAACTCAGTCGAAGAGCCGGGAGCTCAAGGCTTCTCTTGTTTATATGAAGTGCAGTGATGAAGGCTACCTGATGCATAATTCTGTGCGCGATCGGAGGGGTGGGGGGGGGGGGGGGGGGGGGAGGCGAGTCTCATCTAGAATAGGAAGCCCTGTCAGAAACGACCTCTTAAATCAGTCTGTTGTGCATTTTAAAGCTACGTCTAAAGACCATGATGAAGTCAACCTGGTCCAGCCTTTGCTTAAAACTCAACATGGCCTAGAGGTTGCTTGAAACTCAACCTGTTTGGCGTTTGCTCAAAGGTCTGCTGATGAATAGCATGGCTCCGACCTGATCTGGAGTTCAAGCGCTGTTGGAAGGCCGTCTAGAGCTAGCTTAAATTTAAGGCGTTGTTGGGGGACCGCTGTGGACTCGTCTGATGTACAGTGCAAAGCGCCGTCGGCAGCGTTATCTGGGAGTGCAAAAAGTCGTTGCGCTGCTCAGAGGCGATATGGGAGTCGGCGTGGCCTTTAACCCAAAGTGTGGTTGGAAACCGGTCCGGGACTCAGTGAGTTGAAAGCCCTGTCGAATTCGGTTTGGATGCCAACCTGGGCGCTGGTCAAGACAAAGCGCTGATGGTGCACGGAGTGTATATGCATATGGGAGGGGGGGGGGGGGGGGGCAGCAGCCCGGTCTTTAGCCCCTAGCCAGTCTGGAAGCCTCAGGGGTGTCGTTCAAGTTTGGAGGTCGACACGCGCCGGGATTGGGCTGTAGGGGACCAGCTTAATTTAGGAGTTTAACGCGCTGGCGGCGGGCCAAGCAGGGAACCAACGAGATGGACGGTTTAAAAGCGCTGCTTAGGGACAGTCTGGAGACGCGGCCCGACCGGAAGAAAGTCAGACAGAAGGCAGTCAAGTCAGCCAATCATCCTGGTGTAGAGTCCAGGGCTCCGTGGGAAAGCCTGAGGGTTTGGGGGGGTGGAGAGGCCACGGCAACTGTGCGGCAATCATCAAAAGGGAGTCGCGTCCGCCGGTCAGCTGCCGCTGACGAGCCGGACACGGGGCCTTCAGCGGGACTCGAGATCGCGGTCACGCTCGCCAAAACGGAACATCAAGGCGCGCAGACCACTGTCTGAAATCGCCCGTGGTAGGCATTTGTCAGCAGCGGGTAGGTACCCCGGCGACGCGGCAGTGGGGCGTCACCGGGACTGGTTTGATATGGACATGTCCCGCCGCCGTAGGCGCGGCTCCCACTTCCGCCCGTGCGTCACGCGATGATGTAAAATGTCCCGCGTGGAATGGACTAGCATGCATTTTTACCGTTCGTGTGTCGCTAAAATGTCGCCCTTTTATATTCTGACTTTTAGGATCCTTACGATTGTGGTGCAAGTTAGTGACATGTTGCATTCGTCTTGTCTCCACTTGGTTTTAAAGTGAGCAAGTTTTTCTCCCCATGTGGCCTAGGTTTTATGATGTGCCTATCTGTATGTGTTCTTGAGGAGAAATTTGCGGATCGAGACAGCAGTCACATTAGTGGTTTTTCGGTCGAATCGGACCATTTTTTGATCTGTTTCGATGAAGGACATACACGGCGTGCTGTGCGGCGTCCTCCCAGGGGGAGCAGGAGCCTGTTAGCATGGAGCCTAGCTGCTCCTAGATGTTTGTTGTGCGCCGAAGATATGTTATCACATTAGTTGTCACGTGGTCCTGCACCCAACAACTCCCAGACGGCCTCCGCCCATGATGCCGACCGATTGGCGGTCTGGAAACGGTTACGCCCTGTACCCTTTCATCCACTCGATTGGTCTCTGCAAAGGCAGGTGACTCACAATGTCAGATTTTCCAGGTGCTGTGCTGCAAGTTGTGGAAAATCCTAGCGACGGACTCTGGCGTCGGTGCGAAATGTGAAAGGCAAACCTTATTGAATTATATGGCGGCGACGTCATTGTTGGTTGATGGCGCTCACGCCGGAAGTCTCCGGTGCTCACCGAAACTATTCCAGGTCTGGCAGAACAGGCCAGAAGCGTAATGCCACCTGAAAGATGGACGTTTTGCGGCAAGCGCCACCGGTTTCCGTCCCAAATTGAGGTTTTGTCATTTTCCTCCCGACTGCACATTATATATATATATATATATATATATATATATATATATATAATTCCGTACATGAGTACGCTTCCATCGTTATGAAAATTAAGCTTAAGTTTTAGTCCATGTAACTTAATTGTTGTTTAAAAATAGTTTGGAGTTGCATAATGCGGACTCACGTCGCAAGGTCAGTTTTTCCAGGGCTCATCACGTTTGTGATTCAAACGTACACAAAATCACTAGAAAGCTTCTTCCCCCAAACCCTTTCGCCCCCCCCCCCCCCCTTTGCCTTATCACTGATCACATTGGCATGCGGTGGCTTAAGAGGTCCAGGATGTGAAGTTCATTGGGATGTCTTGATGGAGAAAACGAGTCGAAGTTAAAACAGTCAAAATAATGGATCACCGCAGTCACAATATTATCGTGATTGCGATATATCCATTGTTTGTGGGGGGGGGGGGGGGGAGGAGGGCGGGGCGGCGGCAGGGTGAAAACAGTTCCGCCTGGCGTTGGGTGGGCGGAAGTGTTTTAATGATTTGTGGGTGCTTGTGCCTGTAAAGTGAAGACGTATTAAAACTATCCTGAAATTTGAAGAATCCTGAAGAGTGCGCCTTTTCCTGAAAAGCGTGCATTTTTTTAATCCAGGCGTACTTTTTTATTAGCAATATTTAACTTCTAGAAGCTAAAGCTTGAAACTTGCTTGGACAACGACATAGCGTCATTGAACTGTGAACAAAAGATAGATAACCTTTGGATAACACATTTTTATCTACAGACATCGGCAAAAGGAACCATTGAGAGGTTTGAACAGACTCACAAAATTTGACAAGGTTCTATTATTCTCATGTTATAAAAATTGTCTTAACGAAAACGTGCTGCCCAAGTACTTGTATTAAATTCAGATAATGTTTCTGATATACATTTTCTTATGTCGTGTGTGCGTACGTTTGTATGTTGCGGAGTTTCAGATCTGAGACGTACGTCCATGAGTTCAAGGCAAAGTATGGGATGCTCCAGGTTCCCGGATAGTTGCATATGCGCAGGTCGCCGACTGAAAACTCGTTCAGAAGCTGGCTGCTGCGACCTGCGGCGGAAAATGGCTGGAGATGTTGTCATCCCGATGATGTTCCCAGCTGCGGACGCCTGCAGCCACCTGCGGTGGCATCAACAGCCCTCTCAGCTGGGCTCTCGCGTTCTTATGTGAATACGTGAATGTGCTTCCTCCCATCTATCATTGTTGTTAGCTAAATTTAACAAGGTAAATCGTGAACATACGAGAGATGACTGTTCGATCTCTGTTGGATTGTTCAGACGCATGCACTTTGAATTTTCACCAAACAGCATTGCCCGGAAACGTTCATCTTGTTCAGATCGTTTTGCTTGGTCTGTTGAAGCTACTTCCTACCTATCGTTCTGCTCTTTTCACGTCGCTATGGTTGTACGGCAAAACGTGGTACGCCAGATTGTGTCTGAACTGAATGTGTTGCCTTCGCATTGCGCTGATGGTTAAAGTAAGACAAAAGGCCATTTCAGCAGCTTTCAGTTTAACTGGTGTTAGGGATTCTTGAACGTGAACGAGTGATTTTGGCTTGGCACGTGCTATAGGTTGCAAGGTCGAGATGCCGTAGGCCGAGAAAACTCACCTGTCTTGCGTGTGAAGAAATGGAGGACAAACATTACGTTTCCGTCAAAACGACAGCAGGTCGCTGTCTGGAAGTCCTCTGAGCAGTGCATCAGGGTAAAGCTTTTTTTATACCAAAATATGTGACTGTAATGACTGTTGGATTGAAATTGATTAACATTTTAACATTGTGCAGTCATACTTCAAAGAGTACGTCAGCCTCCATATTCCTTAAGGAATCATGTTAAGTCCGAGATTCTTACCGCATGGCCACCGACAGAACACGCGGTAACCAATTATCGCTGGAGATGAGGGCATGTCGGTACCTAAAATGTTCAACATACGGCATTTGAAGGTGAGATCACACGTGACTCGTGTCTTCGATGTTGGTATTTTTTTGCAGACGAATTGTTGCGATCATTTTATTCTGGCGCATATTTATTCCTTACCAATATTTACGTTCAGCGCCCAGCCCATCGGTGGAACTGTTATTCCGGTTTTTCCCTGCACAGCTGCTTACCCAACGGTTGCAGCTGCGATTTCTGCAGTGATGAAGAGGACTGTCTCAGCCGAGGACCATGTGTGCATTCGGGTTTGGTCAGTGTGACGTGCTGACTGGGCTGCGTCGACAGCGTCGAAGACGACCCGGGCTGATGCATATGATCACAAACATCCCGGGACAGCTTTTCGAACTGTTAACTGGCAGTTGAAGAAAATTTGTGAGCGAATCTTGCACCTGCTAAATTTGTGCAGCGTGTAATAGCGCATCTGGCGGTTTGCAGTTCGACAACATGTTATGTAACTGCACCAGTCCATTACTGGTGGTCATTGTGCAAAGAGCTTTCCGAAGGCGATCGGACAGGCGGCAGGTTGTACATTGGTCTGTTAAGCTGTCTATTATTGCTGTGATATCCCAGACGGCGCCTCCGCCGCGACGCCATCATCCGTGGACTGGACGGAGCTCGCCCCAGGCAGCTGGATTGTCTGAAATGAATTGGTGGTTCGTGGGTTATTGGGGCT